TGCACTGTGGGTGTTTGTGTTAATCTTTCAATTCATACAATCTGAGGGTAAAGTTGTTTTTTTTATATTATTCCTTCCTTGTTTATTTTCTCATCATCATCATATCATGCATATCATATCATATCATTCATATCTTATCATATCATATCATATCATATCATATCATATCATATCATATCATAAAATATCATAACAGCCACAAGTCATCAGATAGGGACACAAAACATAACGTGCTTCTCTGCTTAACTGCATTCAAGAAATTCCGTATCAATGACATCATGCTACGCTTTTAAAAGAAAGGAAATCAACATCTAATATTCTCTTGTAACGAATGTATAAACTGTTTGCAGGGTAGTAGCAGCTGATATAATACACAACTTTATTTTTGAAGTTGATCTAAAAACATAATTATTTTATCTAACTGCCCCTGAATTAATTCGCTGTGCGCATTTAGTCGAACCCCACCACGGTTAAGCATACAATAGTACTTAGAAGCATCTGATGTTCCAAAGTACTTAAACAGCACATGTACATACAAATCATAATATTTTATCTCCATATTTACGTGCTACCCCTAATGCCTAACGTACAGCAATATTTTATCTTTTTGATCTCGTGCGGAGAAATGTAACACATGAAACAGCGAAATTGATTTCCCTTTTCTTTCATATACACATAGACAAATTTATCGCAACACATCTGATTTTCAACCGCCATTCAGACATTTATATTCATAATCATCATTATGTTGATCTGTATGATGATTTCTGACCAGTCGGGCGAAGCATACACTGATTTCAGATAAACATCTGTAATGACCAATGGCAGGTATCACGTGCAATAGTGTCCCCATCATTAAGGAAATATCAAGTTTTTAGTAAAGTTACAGATCGACTTGGAAAATCAATTGATTTCGTTGTTGATAAGCAAATGTGTGACTGCTCAAGTTACTGGTAGCCGGAATGCTATCATTAAGGGCTTGGCAAGAGATTCTGGTTGTGGGCCGATTGGCCAGAACACATCAGCAAAAAAAAAGGAAAAGAGTTGTGGACCGTCAGCGTTCAGGATCCAGCGAGGATACAGTCAGTCTCAGAATCACAAGACTTCATTCATTCATGCCACGTGACGTGGTAAAATCTGGTGTGGCTTCCACATCGTCGTTTGCTCACTGGACGGTCGGCATTAAAATCGGCTAAAATCGGCTGAGTGTAGAACTATACGACATACCAGACGTATGCTGTCATCCACTGAACAAAAGCAGCAGGGATAGCCAGTTGTCAAGCTCAACGTCTCTGGAATTTGACGTCGGTCCGACGAGAGTCGACTTCATTTGTCCATGTTTGATGGCCGAGCTCGTGTTTGGCACCGGAGAAAAGTGCATATGTACAACAGAAATATCTTGGAGCAGGTAAAGTTTGGTTTAGTTCATTGCTGGCGTAGACTGTAAACCTGATCTTGTGAGGATCAAGAAGATCTGAATGGTCAGCAGTACATCACTGGCATCCCAGACAGAGTTGTTGTACCACATTTCGATGTGCCATCCTTTGAACTGAAGGCCAGTCTTTATGGACGGCAATGCTAAGCCATGCATGTGCCGTTGGAGATTTCTTTGCGTCAAGAGGTGGTAACGACTCTATCGTGGCCGCCAGGAGTCCAGGTCCCATTAACATAAAGCATGTTTGGGACAATAGTGGTCACAAAATACAACAGAGAGATCATCCAGTACAACTCGTGGTGATCTGTTAGAACAAGCCCTCCATCAGGAATGGAACGCAATACACATGCAATGAAGAAGAGTGTTATGGCAGTTTTCTTCTCTGTGAAATGGGAGTCAATTAAGGAGGGTACATATAGTATGGTTAGTTGAGGTTTGGATAAGTTCCTTTGTTGTGGGTAATGGTAACTTATTGAACATATGGAAAAATATAGGGTGTCGCGATATTTTTTCCATGTGTGCATATATATAATACCGATGTGTCCTCATGAGCTGACAACTTGTCGAGATTCTCCGCCTCGCCGATTCAAACTGCTTCAACCACTTCGACATAGTGCGTTGTCTGAGCACACCCTTTGAGCCATTATGCAATTAGCCAGCATCCATCCTTGTGCAATCACTTTGTCTGAATCGTGGAGCGAGTAAATATGTTTTTAATTGGCATTTACTAAATGTATACAGTTTATCGGGAGGCATGGGGGCACGAGACTAACACTTGCTGCAAAGTAAACGTTAAAAACTGTTGCTTTCGTTAAGACAGACGGTCGTTTTGACCTATGTTTCACAAGGAGAAAAGACACGTGGAGCGTCTCAAAAGTTTGGTTTGGTAAGGTCTGGTTGTTGTTTAACGCCGCACTCCGCAATACTCCAGCAATACGGCTGCGGTCTGTAAATAATCTGGACCAAACAATCCAGTGATCAATAGTATGAACATCGATATCAGTAATTGGGATACGATGACATGTGTCAATCGATTCAAGTCAGCGAGCCTGACCACCCGATCCTGTTAGTCGCCTCTTACCACAAGCATGGATTACTGAAGACCAGGAAGACGAGCTGACCTCAAGGCTTCACGATCTCGTCTTGTGCCGCCCTCTACAAACCGTCACATTCATCAGTGGTGTACACAACGTCGTAACCTAGATAATCTTTGCTAGTCCCCGTGTCATGTGTCAGCCCCGATGTAATTTGCCCTTTCGTGGAAGGCGCTGTCGTGTCTAGCGACATCTACATGAACCTCAAACCGTGAACGCCATCGAAAGACTCGTCAGCAGTATGCCTCAACGAGCGAATGGAAGTTTGGCAAATCGTGGCGGTATTACACACTACCGATCCAGAAACGTACCCTTTGAAATTTCCCATCCTAGTCCCATTGTCGTTCAATATCATTGGAGGCCATAACATCATCTGATGGTGACACCAGGCTTCATATATGTTATGCCATTTGAACGCGTGTCTTCATCGTGCAGTTTAACTATTTATACTTGACTCTTTTTATCAATAGTTCGTCAATATCCGGGGTTCACAGATTGTAGCCATGCATGTACTCGAACCCGGATCTTCGGCATGGCGGGACGAGCTTTAACCACTGGGTTACCAAACCGCTCGTCAGTGGATTAAAACTCATGGAGGCTTGTATATAGGTATAGTTCGTCTATGTTTGGTTGTTGTACTCATCGATGTTACAGCTTTGGTAGCGGATGTCTGTAACTAATCAAGTCAATGATGACGATGCGTCGATCAAGTCAGCGAGCTTGTCCACCCCATCATGTATGTCGCCTCTTACGACAAACATGAGTTGCTGAAGACACATTCTAACCCGGATATTTTATGCTAGATGTGTTTCACAAGTGTTTCTGATATCGTTTGTAGGTTCTCTGGTACTAACGACTGTTCCGGCAGCAGCAGCAACAACAGACAGCCACGTCATCACTCTGATCTGCAGCAGCAGCTGGGGCAGGGCCAACAGATACTGGTACAGGGATGAAAACGTCATCTTCCGTACAACCGAGTCACTGTCCACCCTCAGTAAAGCAGCCATATCTAACCCGTACGTCTACAGCAAGTACCTGTCAGGGCGTGTCAGTGTGAACTGTGGGTCCTCCAACACAATGTGACTCTCAGGATCAACGCTACAATTGACAAGGGACAGAGTGGTGGTGTAAGGATACAGTGAAGAGCGAGACAAGCAACCATATAACATTACGTGAGTTAGATGTGTACTGCAAGAATCAGTGTAACGGAAATGCCCACAATACTTGATGACAAGAGGGCTGATTTTGACATTCCAGTAGAACCGTTTCCATTCAAGTCGACCAATGTTTCAGCAGCTCCTATCTTTGTAGACCGTTTCATAAATTTAGTCCTTTCTGGTACGAACGATTTCAATGGCTTTATATGACTCCTGTACAAAGTTTTCTGGTTTAGAATTACAACATTCAAGGGCTCAGTAAAGCTTTCAGATTAAATTAGTGAAGGCATGTGGATGGTATTCACGTATATGACACATTAGTGACACAAATTATAGTGTTTCGTTAACACCTGCCTTTGTCATAGCAGGACAATATAAACGTTAGGTCTATTTCTTAGTCAGTGTGTGCTGACTGTAGATAATGGCATTCACATCAGATGGAAGTATGTTTTGTAAATGGGAGGTCAACACTCAACGATTTATGACCCAAAAGCAGAAGTTTTTAGTATTCCAGCATTGCCAGCCCGGATAAAAGGGATTCATAGTTGAATCAGATTTGATATGTATGCCAATAGGATTGGCCCTAGTGTCTTGTGTTTGAAGGTAACATATCTCGGAAAATAATATGAGGTTTTATGAGTTTTATTTCTGAAGTTATTATCACGTTATTATGAGTATGAGTTCTATGTGTGTGTAGTTGTTTGACAGGATATGCCATAAACACGTATACAACGTTGATCAGCTTATGAACCTGTTGTTACATGTTCTCATCTTACATGGACATAAACAGTTCGGATACTGCTGAACAAAGGTCTGATGTTATTTTGGTTAATAAGAACGCACGTATGTAGTAGCCTAGCATGAATAAAATGAACGTTCGGGCTAAATGAATGATTGGTATGAGTAGCTTACAAGTGTCTGAAAGGAGTGGCCCCTTCCGAAGATTAGTTGTTAGTTGTCATCAGTAAATGGACATCAGGCATACCGTCAATGTTCTGCTTACAATCAGTCTTATTCGTATATTCTAGTAATGTGTAATGTCTGCAAACTAAGCCTACCATTTCCTGTAGCTTCTAGTTTGCTTTAACCCTTTCACAATTAGCCGTGGTTTGCGAAGGCCTCATGTCTGAATGTGTCCATAATGTTGGAAGTTGCTGTTGCTATTCTTGTATTTTCCTTATATTGTGACAAAAGAATAGAAATTTGTAGCGTTAAACCTTATTATCGGTTTCAGTCTCTGCGAAGTCTGGACGACATACTGATCTATCAAGACTTACAGACAGCGATGCTAAAGACAACGGTAACATACAAAAAAGCATGGAATGTGTGATTGACTTGTGGCGATCATAAACGAACAATTCTAATCAACTAGTGAATACATATCGTGTTGTTTATGATATTTAACATAGGATATAGGTAAATGCCTTGATGTTGCCTCGTGTTGAGCATAATTGGTGTCGCATCATGGTGTGTCGACTTATGTGTAAGAAATAACTATTTGGAAAAAGTGCAAGATATGTAGTCATACATGGCGAATTTTGTAAGCTGCAAACCACTGTATAATTGTACCCAAATGTGCAAAACGGTCACAGTCAGCGATATTCTACCTGTCATGGTGACCAGTAATAATGGACTCGGGGACAGTGGTGACAATCCAAGTCACGACCCAATCAGCAGGGTCACACTATATAGCACTCATTGCTCCATTCGACGATTGTTCAGGACAAGCATGGTCCAAATCCAGGTGAAATAGGCGACGTCGCTGTTGGAGAGGTTTATTTGACACAAGCCAGCAATCTTGGGCTGCTCTGAAGTGTGATACTTTATGGAAATTATCTGAACTTATCTGATCACTTTGAGGAAACGCTGCCTTGACGTGGGTGGAGTCGAGCGCTTCATTATGCACGCCATATTGACACGGCTTACTCAAGGAATGATTATTCTCCTGCTGTTTCAGGCTCGGGAAGCAGGACTGTTATTTACATTGCTGCAGGGTCCGCCTGTGCAGTTGTAGTCATCATCGTTGTAGTCGCCATATTATTTGTTAGAAGAAGACGTCACACGTCCGGAGGTAAGACATTAAGATGCAGAGCTATGGAATGAGTCATTGGATTCTTCATTAGATTGAACTGTGTTTAAACTGCAAATATGATACAATAAGTAAACAGTATTTATCTACAAGGTGTATTGATAGAAAATATTTATCCATAAGGTGTATTGATAGAAAATATTTATCTACAAGGTGTATTGGTAGAAAATATTTATCTACAAGGTGTATTGATAGAAAATATCTATCTACAAGGTGTATTGATAGAAATATTTATCTACAAGGTGTATTGATAGAAAATTTTTATCTACAAAGTGTATTGATAGAAAATATTTATCTACAAGGTGTATTGATAGAAAATATTTATCTACAAGGTGTATTGATAGAAAATATTGTATTGTAAGATGTCGTCGTATCGCAGTTGCGTTGATCGATGCTCATAATATTAATCACTGGAGTGATTCAAGTTTGATTGTTTTACAGATCAACGTCATATAGCTGGAATATTGTTGCATTTGGCGTTACACAACAAAAAGACATGTTCGAAATAAGTTAATCATTATGAGAATGACGTTCATGTTTCAGCCACGCAGGATGACATACTACACACAGTGTCATCAGAAACGTCACCAGCTGATGACCACACACAGTACCATGAACCAGTGACACAAGGTATATAGTTTGTCTCGATCAACACCTTGTCCACAGATAACAAAATGAATTAAGTAAGTCATAACCTTGATTGAATATATTATTTTCATGAGACATAAAACGAAAAGTGTTCCGTTTTCCTGTGTTAATTTGAGACATGTATGTCGAGTAATGTTTGAAATCATTTTACACAATATAGTTCCTTTATACGTGCAAATAACATCCGCGGAGAAATATACTTTGGAATGTTGTACACATTAATCTTGAAAATATTTTTATATGAAAACCATTTGTTATTTACTAGCAAATCTTACATGATCATGACACACGGTAACTTACCTAAAGTAATATTTGCTGTTGTCAGGTGTGTACGTCCATGTGCTGAAAGACAAGGTCAAATAACACAAGGAAGAGGAAACACATGTCGGCGTGTGTACGTGTATATATTTCTCATTTACTTCACCAGGGAGGCCGGGGGGACTAGTTAGTGAATCATAATGGTTGTAATGTCAGCAGTTAGATCCTTGTTTGTGTGTTGCAAGTGCTCATGTCATTCATCAAAGCATGTCTGGATTGGTCAAACTGGTCGTGGGATACAGGGTTGAAAGTATGCTCGATCATTCAGTGTATCATCTCGCCATGTTATATCATGTTATATATGTATCAGACTAGAAATATAGTTTGTATTTATATAGTGCCCGTTCAAACAAATTGAGCAGAGGCACTCAGGCAAAGACACTGTCAAAAGCTGTGTTTTAGCACTCGTTTGAACTGGTGGAGTTCACAGGTGACTTAAGATTTTGTTTGGGAGATTGTTCCATAATAGATGCCTGGCTTCTGAAAATGTTCATTCTGTTTGATGGTGGTACCTGCAATATTCGTGATGTTTGTGTTATCAAAGGTATATAACAAAAACTGTAGAATGAATTGTATGTTCACAATGGGATTAAGCCCACACCGGTAGTAATATCACTGCATTATAAGTTTGCAAGAAGTGCCATTCAAGACCAAATTGTACATGTTCAGCAGAGCCAGAACACATTCTGCAGGCTTTACAGTTCTGGTCCGATGTGTTTGATGAAATTCTGAAGGTGTCAGTGAGTACGTGAGCTGGGTTTTACGCCACTTTTAGAAATAGTCCAGCAATATGGCGTCGGGGGACATGAGAAAAGGGCTTCACACATTGTACCCATATCGAGAATCGAACCCAGGTATTCGGCGGGACAAGTGAATGCTTTAACCACCGGGCTACCCCAGCGCCCCAGATTCTGAAGGAAACCTAGCGGAGTAGTCCCGTGTGATGGGACGTTGTCTTATTGCTGTTGATCTATTCTGGCCCGACTTTGAGACAATTGGTAGAAAGTTGTCTCCCTTTAATCAAATTCTGCTGTCAAAGCCTTTGCTGAAGTGTAATTGTACTTAATAGGTTATGTATATAATTTGTCTGTGGTGTCATAATGATACTACCGTGCTTGACTGGATCATCACATTATTCTGCATATGCCCCCGCTGACCAGTCATATCACTGGTGTCTTTACAAACTAAACTCTGGACCAGACAAACTATTGGTTGATAGCATGAGCAAATAACGCATAAATATGGACGTAGAGTTCGAAGTCGGTCTGGCTGCAACGGTTTATCGAACATAATATACATTATTATGTATTTCCAGAAGCTGTCCCACGGTCGAGATTTACCGGGGATGATTCTGATGGGAGGATGGAGCCAACCTCAAAATGGACCAGTTGGGGCAGAACCTACAAGTTTCCTGGAATTACGGGTTATCTGAAGTCATCATCAGTTGTTTCGAGAATGCCGTGATGTCACAACACGTTCATATGGTCCTCTAAACAAACAGTGGAACAAATGATGCCAAATAGTCAATCAGAAGGAAAAAGTACAATGCTCAGTGAAAATAAAATCCAAGCCTAAATGTTTAAGGAACCTACTGATACACAGACGATAGGATGAATATGTGTCCGTCACATAGTTACTTTTTTTCCATACATCGCTTTGTGACAATAATTGTGAGAGAGTAACAATTTATGCCGTCATTGTTTCACCCGTATTACCGGTTTTGCACAATTACAAAACGTTGTCAGTACGAATGGCTCAACAGAAATTGATATTTTATGTGTATTGAAAACACTGCCTGCTTCCTTTGTTATCGGTAAAGTCATGCTTCAACACTTGTGAACGATGTTGACAGCTGTTTGTTTGTCAGGTGGTGACGTTACTGTACATGCATATGTGCAGGCCGGCGTGTTCACAGAAATATAATCTAACGTACACAGGTCTTTCAGGTAATGTACAAATGAGTGCAGCCATAACCATAACCTCTTGGCAAAAGAATGTACACATCTCACAATTTGATTTTACCCAAAATATTACAAACTATCAAAACGTGATAATTACTGGACTATATCAGTCAACGGTTCACGTTACATGTTCACATTAAACTCGTACCTGTATCAAGCATATCATCATACTAAGTTATTTTCTTGTTTGTTCCATTTTCAGCCTCTACCAAACATGTGTGTATTTATGTTTCGCCCGTCAGTTTGTGTTTGAACACTGGCATCAAATTAGAATAATCATTCTCTTTGTAAACACTGCTGTACATTGTCATGTCATTTAGGCTTTTGAAAATTAAGGGTTAATAAAATATTCAGTACTATCATTGTAACTGTTTCGTAACATATGTACAATAATTGATGATGTCTCAGAATATGATGATTTTGGAGTTACGTGAAGATATTCAAGAGAGTGGAGTACTGTTTGCTTTCAATTAACCCGAGGCAAACAAACGGTTTGTTTCAGACTTGATAAGAGACGAGTACCTGTCGCATGTTCGTCTTCGTACGTCAACTGTCACTAGCATAAACCGATGTCTTTAGTTTGGTACGAAATACTCGAATATTGCCAGATACAAGGCTCAAAGTTATAACTATTCTAATAATTAAAACAGGTAAATGCAGATGGGCCAACAGTAGTTGATTTGCGCACATTCCACCACATTCAGACAACTCATTTCACACATATCTCATTCTGTGGATGGAACAATATGTAATCAGGGTATCATATCTCGGCCGTATTGTGCTACTTCTGTTCTGTAGTAGGTTTGACCACATCAAGAGTACACTTCCAAATACCTGAGTCTGACGTTAATATATTTGATGTATTAGGAACATCACGAGCATCGTTGAAGTACAGGTGAAAAGAATGTACACATTTACATTCTCACTGACTCACTCGTGCAGCTCAGTACAGAACAATAAGTCGAGACAACAGGGATGGAACAGGTCTTAAGCTATGTGTGCTCGTATCAAGAAGCGACTGTGCTTATTGTAACAGGCCGTCAATATTATCTGAAGGTTAGGCAGGCTGTCTAAGGTAATGAATGTCATGGCCCCCACAACAGCGTAGATTTATGTTCATGATGTCAGTCACTGGCTGACCACTACCATATCTCTTGAGTAATGCTAAGGGCTGTGTTGAATAAAAAAGAAAGATTCCCACTCAATTATGATATCAGTGTACATCTGGATACGAAAGGGTGCACTGTATACGTAAGGCCGTCTATCTGAAGTAGATCTGAAGGTAATATGCCGCCAGGCATCTAAACAGAAGTAAACGAACAGCCCTACATTTTAAACAGCGTATATTTAACAATGCTAACAATATAAGCGAGAAAATATATTAATGTTCAACCAAGGAGACCGGTAAGCATCTCTCTACACAAACATAATTACACAGTAAACGAGACACCAGTCCGATCACATAGTCCGTCAGCCAAACAACCCACCAAACCAGCCACTGCACGGCTCAGCACAGTACGAAAACCAACGCTATCTCTGGGGTTGAACTATTTCGCTTCTCAGCAATTAAACGAGAGGTCATTTCAGGGTTGTGGAACATATTATGCAGATGCGAAAGTGCTTCCCTGCCCCACGTGATTTCCGTCCGATGCCCCTAATCTTAGCCCATTGTATCCCACACACAGGGATACAAACCTGGTTCTTTGGCGTAACAAGACATCGCTTTAACCATTTGGCTACCGCTTCGACCATACTTTTGAAATATTGATCACACAGGACTGATAAATAACTTATATGCTGAAATCCTTTGTTCAGTCAAATGATTTACGACCTTTTTTAAAATCGTCAGAGGACAGACTTGTTTAAAGGATATGAAGTGGTTTGTTTACCGCTCAAGCGTCGAGGAAAGTACTGCGTAACGCCGAAAGACATGCTGCAGTTATATATAGACCACAGCAAGCACGTCTGACAGGTACACAGAACATGGAGGATTTATTTGTGAATCTGCTGATCCCAGGACAGACTTGACATGACATCCTGTATCTCTGCTTTCGATAGTGTATGGTACTGTACCCATTGCCTAATGATTGTTTCAATCAGGAATTGGTTTTCAAATGCAAATGTTCAACTGTTAAGGAGCCCGATGTAAAATAACACCCATCAAATCAAATCACACAATTCACATTGAAATAGGCTCTTGAGATACCCCACTGTGTATACTTTCATCTGTGTATGAATGTTGATTTAGCTTAAGGATGTGTACTAATGTGAATTCCCTTTTCAAAACACTTAATGTACTGGTATATGTTCATAATATGGACATGCGCATTCACTCGACAAGTCGATAACACCTCCATTCCTCACGCACCTAGAGCTTGCAGTATTCGTGATTATCGTGATCTCAGCAGGTACACTGTCGGTCTGAGCCCACTCTTACACACGCTGTTGATTAGATTACACTTCACGGCAACACACATATTTAATACGATCTTCCCTGTTGGAATTTCAAATATATCTTCCTCGAGAACTTATTGAATGGGGAAATCAAACTTGCATCCTTGGTTGAGTGAACGTCATCGGGTGGAGCGTTGTTCACTATATCAATCACGTGTTGCGTTGTTCATTATTACTATCACTTGTTGCGTTGTTCATTATTTCAATCACTTGTTGCGTTGTTCGTTATGTCAATCACGTGTTGCGTTGTTCGTTTTTTCAATCACGTGTTCTGTTGTTCGTTATATCAATCACGTGTTGCGTTGTTCGTTATACAACACCGAAACATAGATTTGTATTAAATGCCATGATAACAATAATACTGGCGGGATTTGTTCAGCTAGGGCTGAAACAAGATGTATTCTGCTTGTCAGAATGTGTGAGATGTCTGTGTCTCTATGTTAAAGGTCCGGGTACTCATTTGCACGGAATGTCAGCTTGCCACCCAATGTAAATAGATACAACACTCTTGGGTATCATAATCACACACACGCCCAGTATGGCTTAACCTTCGACAGCATGTTTCGATCTACGGATTCCAATATTGTTGTTGGTTGAAGTAATTTCCCCATCGGCGTTGGCAACAATCACTTACTTTCATCGCGTGAGTGACTGGCTTTGGTGGACAAGATCACGTCACTGATTTCCAGTGACCCACGCACATAATAGCGATCACTCTTGTGTTGCGGGACAAATCGAGACTGAGGTTGTCATTTGATATTATATCTTCCTACAACCACACCCGTGAACATCCGGGTTAGAATTGTTCTTCAGCAACCAATGCTTGTCGTATGAGGCAAATAACGAGTTCGGGTGGTCAGGCACGTTGACTCGGTTAACACGTCATCGTATCTCAATTACGTAGATCGATGCGCATGATGTTGATCACCTGATTGTCTGGTCCAGACTCGATTATTTACAATTATACTGTCGAGTGTTAACCCATACCGTTCGTGATCAAGCCCGCTACGGAACACATGCCCCAGTGACAATCTTCTACAACACGGGTGGAGGTTGTGGAGGGGTATGTAGCAGTATATGTAGGTAGCAGTGTTGAACAGTAGCAGTAATTCTCAAATTCTCAAATTCACGCACGTATCCACCTACCTACACCACTAGTGTCACTGAGTAATTTAGAGTTACATCTAACAGATTCTCATCCACGATTGTCAAAGGATACGTCACCGTGTACGCCATCATCCCAAGCGATTTCTGAATGTTGACAAGTCTTAAAGTCACATCACTACTGTATGTTATTGACACATGTAAATCCTGTTTGAACAGAATTGACATTGGCGAGACATACTAAGGTTCAAGTGGATTTGTATGATTTGGTTACATGCACGGCAAACATATCCTTGTCACTTAATCTGATGCAATTACAGGTGTGTAAACTTGCATGAAGTGTGAGCAGCGATACCTATACCTGTATGGCCTTCAACTGCTCGTGACTCGGGTTAAAGCTGTACACAACAACTTCCTGGTTTCAGACAATACGCTTGGGTTGTATCACGTTGCGGGTAGGCTGATACACATAGCCTGATGCTGATAAGCGACCCTGGTGTTACAAGGGACTCCCAACTACCTGGACGGTCACTGTGTGGAGTTATTGCGACTTGTACACAACCTGGTTTACCTTGTTCGACGGGAGAGATTTGTGATGTACAGGACTCTGTACATGTGATACGTGTGATGGGTGAAGTGTGAGAAAAGTGGCCCCGGAGTACCGGAGCTGCGTGGATAGATGGACACGCAAGAGGAGTGTATTTTCATGTGATATTCGTAAACAGCTACTATACAGCCATGTATCGGATATATCTACTCCTGTTTCTGTTACTCGGTGGCCGCTCACACCAGGCAGGTGGGTATTTGTGTAACACTACACTGCTCACGTCTCCTTTCTAAAAGTATGATTACATCACGATTATTTTCGTACAAAAAATTGTACAGAAGCTCTACTTGTGACTACAGTCCAGAATGTTCTTTCCCAGGAATATAACGATGTCTCATGTCGACACAAACCATCTCCTTAGGAATTGGATAGTGTTTCTATCCCGAAAGGTGTAATTCATATTGGATCCAATTTTCGGAAAAATATGTGTACATGTATATAGTCGGAAATACTGGACAGCTTTCTCGGGGTATAATTTGAAATTGTGAAAACTAGAAACATTTAAACACCCACAAAAGATAGAAAATCCCAAACAGATTTTTCTCAACCAAAAACTATTACACGTGCAAAGGTCAAATGCTCTAATGCAAGGTGTGTTTCCAGTCACGGGTAGTCAAATCATCCTTCGTTCATCAAAGGTTGGGTGAGTTATGAAAGGATTTATTTTTTTTGTCTCTTGGAAGCATTCCAATCATGCTGATATATTGAACATATACTCATGCCAATAATGGTTGTCACCCTCCTTCCCACCCCAACCCAACACACACACCTCACCCCACACACCACACCCCCTCTCCAATAAAAAAAATGACAGGGGGTGACAACCACTATTGGCATGAGTATATGTTAAACTAGATGGTTCGGTTATAACTTGAAAAAAAACAAAAAATATTGGCCAAACG